TAACTCTCTAAACTGCCTGGCCAATTTTTCAATTGCTTTCAAGTGGCTCACCAACCTGTGAGCAATAGAAACATTTTAATTCCTATAGAACATAATTTCCTCACTAATTTAACTGGACTTTCATCTAGGTCATAGGCCTTCATAAAAATAGCAGGTTGCCTTTTGACCAACAGTAGCTATGTTTTCATAGTCTTGTCATAGGTTCAAATAGCAGGTTCATCAATTAGCAGGTGTACAAATGCGGGGGAAAATCTCCGTTGTGCCGCTTTGCCGGCAGCTTTCCACACTTTTGAGAACAACTGTGTTGAGAACCGTATCTTCCACACCCAATGAAAGTAAACCAAACCAGAGATTTTGCATGGGTGTTTGACAGGAGTGGGCCACAGGCAGTTTTTAGGTGAGAAGTAATTCCAGGTACATAAATGATACAGGAATGGATCTTTGGGAAGGTTCTGTGAGTTTCAATGACAAGGCACGTGCAGTTTACTCTCTACCTCTAATTATGGCTACGTGCCAGCATTTCCCTAGACACTCAGCCTAAAATGAGGCACTGTATTTATATCTTCCTTGTTTTGAGCCACTCATCAGAAACATTGAAAATAAAATATTTATCAAGTAGCACTTTTACTAAGGAAAACTTTTATTTCAACTGTGCAATCAATCAGTATTTAGACAGCAGTTTCATAAACATTTGGCATTTAAACTTCTATTACTTTTTGGCATGACCTTGGGGTAGTATATAAACAACCCTGGAGGGGAAAAATGAACCAACACACTAGGTAACATTTACTAGAATGCTAGAAAAAGAAAAACAAATCCACATTATTAAACAAAATAGCTTTTAAAAGACATTAAAAAGTTACATTCAAATCAGGGCAAACATTAGCTTCCCTCATGCAATGGAATTCACAGAGCTGATCCCCTGAGACAAATATAAAATTAATACAATTCAGCTCCATCCTCCATTAGCCAGTCGGCCACTGCTGCCCTTAGGAGAAAATGGCACACGGAGTGAAAGGATCCAGAACACCACAATATGAGATACATACCTGGCTCCTACACTGGCAATTCATTCACAACTTTAAAAAACAAAACAAAACAAAACAAAAAAACCAACCAAAAGCCAAACAATCAAAAAGCAACATTTGTATAAGTCAGTTTTTCATATACAGTCAGTCTTTACTGAAAACACACCAGGCAGATGCAATGCGGGTATATGCAACCATGAAAAGCTGAAAACTTCCAGAAGCAGCACAGCTCGCAATGGAACCCAAGGGCCCCAACGTGGCAAAACCTTAAGCATGTGTTTACATCCCTTTTTCGCCAATTAGCACCTGTCTCAGTGTAAATCTAGAGGAATTCCAAAGAAAGAAACTTACTCACATTTGAGCCAAGCTGAGTTTGTGTTCCATACGGGGCTCTAATAGCAGAAAGCTATTTGTGTTTCCACATGTATTGAAGAACAGTATTTTTTGAAACATATGTTCCAAAATATACAGTTACAGAAATAATATATTTTTAACATGTTATTACAGAAAGGCACTAAGTATTTCCTGCAAATTCCTCTGCTTTGGAAATTGCTTACTATTAGCAGAGCTGCGGTTGCAACAAGTAATAAGCATGTAACAATTGTTCAAGCAGAGAATTACCTCATTAGCAACTACTAGGTGTCCTTCTGCTTTCAATTTTACCAGAATAACTTCAGTAAATTGATTTCTGTGAAATACCACCAGTTACACACATCCAGCTCTGCTTGCAGTTGATGTGAACGAGATTTCTGGCTAAACATGGAGTGCCCTCCAAAACCTACCAACATTCCCTGTGTTAGGAGATGGACTTTTTCCTGGGGGAGCTTCATTCTGTAACAAAATGAGCGAGAGCTCCTGGTCAGAGTAACATGTTACTGAGCCTCAGCGGCCCACAGTAACGGTGCTTGGTATGCTCAGGCTGCAGCAAATGGTAAGTCAATAAAAGTTGCCTTAGTTTGCAATGAAAAAAGAGGTAAACTGACTTGAAATAGTATTTACCACAGGCTGGATGTGTGGAGAGTTACAGTGGACCTCTGATGCGTGGTAACTTGCTATCTTACAAAAATCCATTTGCCAATGGGAGTTTTAACCACCTCAGAATTCTGTCCTTTAAAAATAATAATACTGTGAAGGTTTAAAAAGCAAATAGACAGAAAAGCAAAAAGCTGATTTTGTCTGTCCAGACCACGCAAACTGAAATAAAAATTAATTCTCACATTGACTTAAAAAGAAACAAGTTGGGGACCCTGATTTGGGGTTTGCCCTGATAAGGGAAACAAGCTCAAGGGAATAAAACCATAGAGGGAATGAACTATAAAGAAAAAGAAAAAACAGGTAAAGAAATATCTCAATACTCTTTGCTGTTAAAATCTTGTAAGTTACAAAGAAAATACAAGAAATTATTAAAAGTGATATGTAGATTGTTCAAGTTTCTCTTACAAAAGCAGACCTATTAAAAAAAATAAAAATCAATGGATAGGCCCTGTTCTACACAACATACACATTCCCAGTTCTCCTAGATAACTCCTTAAAGATGAGAATAGATTTTATATGTTAAATATGAAGAAGGTACACAAGTGTAACTGTGCAGACTGTACCTTTGGTTTTGGTCCTGCAGAACAGGCAGTGCTGTTGCAACTGAAGGGCAGGGTCCTCACACAGAAACACAATTAGCAGAGTAAGCCAGTTTCAAGATTTCCCCTGTAAGTTTTGATGCTTTTCAAGTCATGTCAACTGTAACATTTTTGCTTTCATTTAAAAGTACAAGGGTTGCATATACACTCATTACACCAGCCATGGCTCCTTAGTTCTTAATACACATAAACAAAATCAGTTCACATAGTGTAACACTAGATTCCACATTTATGTTCATCTTCCAGAACACACTTAGTAAAATTCATAATTAAAAAATGATAATTTTTTTCTCCAGGACCCAGTTTCCACAGACATAGCCAAGAAAAAAATACTGGAAAACCTGAAACCATTCCACTTGCTATGTTCTGCCAGCTCTTTCTAGGCAAATGGAATGAACGAAGTTTATATATGAAAAACACATTTCCTTAGACAGCCACAGGTATAAACTTTTAACAGAATTAAAAACTGTAATATATCTATAATTACATGTGTTAGCTTCAAGGACATGAAGCATTTGACCTTTGAGCCCAAACTTGCACTGTTACAATCATGAAGGACTGACGCTGCTATTGAGTCCAATAAAGTATCAATTTCTACACAATTTTTCTGGAGATTCCTTTGCTTACATTGGTGGTATTTTCAATCCTAAAACAAATTTTCTCTTGCAAAATTTTGTGATACATTAGTCATAGGCCATGAATTTTGAGAACATTTTTTTTCTATAGTAATTGTGACTATGTGACGAAGTAAAGGGAAGCACATGAATGTTGACTGGGTTCTGGAGAAACATTATATTTGGTTAACATAAAAATAAAGAAAAAAGACAGAGTAATTAATGTCTAACTAAGCTTGCCTATATGCTGAGGTAACCTTAAATATCTTTGGTTTTCTTTATTTGCTGATAAAAAGTACCATAATAAAACATGAAGTGATGAATAGAGTTCTGGATGCACTGCTCTCTAATACACTGAATATTTTCAACTCTTTGGCTATTGAAGTTAGAGCATCTATATTAGATTGACAAATTTTATATGAAGTTTGTTTCTCTCCATTGTTACCTGTCCACGGGTTACACTACTGAGTGGGTGTCTGGAAGAAAAAGTTTGGGATTTAAAGTATTTACCTGTAATGAGAGTCATAAAATTACATCTGATTATCAGTACTTACAGCAAACAAGTCTTTGGAGAAGCAAACAGTTACCATCTGCATATCAGCGCTTTCTGACTGAAACTAACAAAAGAGGCTACTCTGAAAGATGAAGTGTGAAACTTCATGCTACAGTTACACATTCTTAATCTAGTTTTGATTAATTCACACTTTACCTAACTAGAAACAGTACTCTGCTGTACACTAAACATTCTGCCTGACAAGACCAAAAATAAATCTTTGGTGAAAAGGTTTTCTTTTTCTTCAGCAAGTAGATAAAAAACTGTTCAAAAATATTTATTCTTTTTAATACTGTATTGTTGATCAACTACATGCTGGAGAAAAAAATTACACTTGGAAGTCTTTGGAGATATCTGCTGGTATTATTATAACTTTCTTTAAAGGCTCTTGTAACAACAAGGTAGTTAAAATTGTAGAAGCATACAACTCATCTATGCAATCAACTACTACAATCAAGAAGCCCTATTGTTTTTTATTAGTAACTACTTATACAATAAAATGTATTCAGCTCTTCAAACCTATAGCTTTTAACTAGTTCAATTATTTTTGGACAATATGTGGCTTCCTTCTACAGAAAAGTCTTTGGTACGAGATTGTTTTTAAACATTTGAATCAACACTGCTATGGAAAGGTGAATGTGTACTGTCTGGTTCAGAACTAGCAAACAGTTACAAGGTAAAGAACTACAGTAACTAGAGGCTGATTTATCAACACAAAACAGACCAAACAGCAGGACTAATTGATGACTTCTGACTACCTTCTGATACATGAGGAACAATACAAGAGTCAGCCTGGCCTACCTTAGGGGTGACATCTTGGCCCAGTAAAGACAATGGGAGTTCTGACAGACTTAGAGCCAGGAGTTCCTATGGTTGCTTTCTCATAACATTACATTTTAAACGTGTTTTTTTTTTAAAGTAGAAACATATGCCTGATTTTTTTTCTTTTCTTTCTTTTTTTTTTTTTTTTTTAAGTAAAACAGGGAGAAAGGAGCAGTGGAGAGGAGGACTGGATATAGATACAGGCAAGTTTATAATATTGGATGATTCCAACCTCCTCCCTCTCTCTCTCTCTCCCGTATTAAAAAACAAAATTTTTTTTTTTTTTTTTTTTTTTTTTTTTTTTTTTTTTTTAAGTAAAACAGGGAGAAAGGAGCAGTGGAGAGGAGGACTGGATATAGATACAGGCAAGTTTATAATATTGGATGATTCCAACCTCCTCCCTCTCTCTCTCTCTCCCGTATTAAAAAACAAAACATGATACCCTGTCAGTTTGCTCCACGTTTCCGTGAGGCAGCTCAAAAGTAACAAACTGTTCCCTGAGTACAGGAAAAAACAACAACAATGAAAACCCCAAAAAACACTAGAATAACTTTTAAAGGAGGTAGTATAAAACGGGAATTGCATGGGTTCAAGGCAGTACCAGTACTCACCTCTTTCAACAGACTCTTCAACTAAAGCTCTGGCTTTTTTTATTTCTGATGGTAGCCCAATCAGAGTTTTAAACTGGCATTTGGATAAAGTCACTCCCTGAGCTAAAATTCCTGGCTTAACAGCACACTAGGTGAAGGCAAGGAGCAGGGCTGCATCCTCACAACAGCTCTGAGATACACTGCAATGCTCGCACTGCTTATCAGCACTCAAAGCTGGGTAAAAATGAACTGTAAACTCATGACATGGTTTACTTAAAACATCTAAGAAGCAGTTAAGGCATCTTTCTGTGCTCCAAAGCAACTTTATGAATACTAAAAAGGTGTAAGGCAAATCAGAAATTTCATAATATATAATGCAAGGCACCATTGCTAAGAAGTACTGTGATACTGGAATACTCAGCATTATAATCTATTCTGGGACTCTAAGGCAGAGCCAAACTGTTTGGAAATGCTGAATACTACTTCATTTTGCCATGCTTTTTAGCATTGACTGTCAATAAAGGGGCAACATTTGGCACTGTGGGGAACCCAACATGTCCCAGAGCCCTAAGGATATAACATATATCCTGCCAGGAGTTGCTGGCACAACTTTCTGGGGAAAGGCACTGTCCTAGGCTTATTGGGGTTATGAGAATCAAGAGGTACAAAAGATTTCCTGTGGCTGTATACGTGGAAGCACCAACTCTAGTTTTCCCAGTTTTTAACACCCTCTCCTATGTCAACCACATTAATTCATTACATTTTATACTCTGAGGTTTCCTTCTTTTTAAAGACAGAGCTTCAGCTAAACAATCTTGTTCATGTACCTATACAACTCCCTGATCACTGAGCGCACACACGTGCACGCACACACACACACACATACATATATTCTACACACAACTGAAAACGAAAAAAAAGAAACCCAAAATAAAACAACACTACTAGGAAGTATCATCAGTTCCATAGCTGAGACCAACTAGAACACAAATGAGGTAAAGCAGTCGTCATTCAGAGTTCACCTCTCGGCAAACTGAGGTAGATAGTCAGCAAAAGGGCCAACAGCCTTCCCTTTGCTCCAGTGACATATTTTTAACTTTAGTCAGAAATCTTCACTGTCCTTTCACATTTTTTGACCACTGAACATTCAAAATGAGTGAGTTTTAAAAAACAAACAAAACAAAACATAAAAAAACCAACATTCAACAGAAATATGGGATCACCTGCTAGGTTAGTCAGGCTTTCCACAATAAAACTTTGGCTCCCTGTTCATTGTCCTTCGAACAGACATACACTGCAAGAATGTCTGGCGTGGCTCTAAGGATGTCAGTTTTGCACCGCAGGGTGTATTTGGAGAGGTGAGGTAGGAGTCTGGTCAGTAGCGAAGGGCAGAGGAGACTCTGTGCAGTTACTTATGGCAGGGCTCATCGTGTTCGTACCCAAGTCACTGCTTACGAAAGGACTGGTAGTGGGAGGCGTGGTGCTTGTCACAGAGGAGAGGTGTATCTCATCATTGGACTCCTGAGAGTATCTTCCAGAGTCACCGGTCTCGTGGCTTCCTTCACTGTTGGCTGAATGCTCCGTATCAGCAACAATACTGAATGGCACCTGGAAATTAGACTGCTGGCCGGGGGAGCCGGGGGAGTCATCCTCACTGATCAGCACAGTGGTGCCTGGCTGGTACAGACACACTGCCTGGGCAAATCTTCTCTGAGGCTACATAAAGAGCAGAGAGAAAAAGGTTGTTCTGCCTCTGCAAAGCTTACCCATAAATTGAATTTTTACTGCATTTCCTATTTCCTATTCTGCCAGAGTGCCTCTAACAGCATTGGCTCAGAACAATCTGGGCTTTCCTACAGGAGGTTAAAAAGAATCGATTTCAAGTCTTGCTAACACTTTTCCGTAATAGATGAAATAATCCCTTCTAGCTAAGCATGGCTAATCAAGAATGATTTCACTGGAGAGACTTGAATGGTATTTTAAAAACACACTTGGTAAATCTCTCTCCCATCCCTTCATGCATATGCTTTAAGCATTACTCCTTGGGTGGTAGGAAATATTTTACTTATAGGGGCATCAGAAATATGTGGCTGCTTCTGGAAATCTTTTGGAATATGAATTTACAACATGGATATCAAGACTTCCTATTCCTTAAACATACAGGAGCACAATACAAGTTACGATTCAATAAACATTAGTCAGATGCCCCATAGATATGAATTTGCATTATTAGGTTCAGGACTTGGTTTAACACTTCAGTTTTAAACTACTATTTTTCTCATCCAAGTAGCAAATTTGTCCAGAGAAACAATTTCAGAAGCCAGACAGTTTTACTCAGATTCTCAGTTTCTTCAGTACTTTGGGTAGATCATTTAATAGCCCTCTTTTGGTTTCTCTTCAGCAAACAAAGTTTTACCTGCTGGGGTAGGAGATGATTCTTTATATTTTTATATTCTTCTTATTTATAAATACATATTTAATTTATATTTATATCAAGTCTCTGCAGATGTAATATTGTAGATGCTATGCATAGACCCAGTACACAGAAATCCTTTTGCTCACAGACGACAGGGCACAGGCAGGAAAGAAATCAGTTAACTGTAAACAGTTACAGTATCTGATAACTTGGGACAGCAAATGAAACTTCCTTAAGACTACTACACGGCAGAACACCATCAACCTTAACAAAACCCAAACTATCCAATTAAAACTTAGACCACTAATTATGCTTTTCCATAAATAGAAAACTATGTATCTTCCTTTGCAAACACAGGGTATTGCAGTAAAGATTGTGCATCTCTGCCCATTAGAGCAATTACCTCCTCAGTCTTCACCTTCTTAGTATCTTGGAAGAACAGCCACCTTTTCTTGCAGTTAGCCTTTGTGACAGGCCCATAGCTGTTAATAATCAGATCAGATCCCCCCTACAGTAGAGTGAGACACACAGTTATTTAAGTTAACAAAATAAATTTCTAAGATATTTGAAAATATTTTTCTGTTCTTACTTATTGGTTCCATACTGAAAAGGAAGACAAATGAAGTCTTAGTGCTCAGTCACATTTTTGTGGTCTGGTATTCATCTACTGCTCGAGACAAGTCAAGACCAGATCCATTAACTCTGGCAAGTGCACAGGCCAGACCCGACAGCTGTAATACTGCAAACACACAGCAAAATATTCCAGCCACAGCTCTCTATTGCTTTGAATGTGACTACTCACAGACACAGTGTCTGTGCCTGTACTGGGTCCATTTCCATTTCCCAGCTCTGTATATCCTCAGAGAGCAGCTCCATTCATGTTTGCAGTGTGCACAGAACAAGCCTTAAGTCAGTTTGTCTGCACATGAACGTAAAGCCAATGTGGTTTTGTCCCACTGGACTCCTGGACTGTAAGATTCTACACAGCCACTGATACATCCTGCCATCTAGATTAATTTATAATTTGACCAAATATAAGTTTACAAAATGTAAATTTATCTTACCAGTAAATACACAGAAAAATAATATTTTCTTTAATACTTGCTTAGTGTCATACTTGCCTAGATCATGCACAGACACTTCCTGAACTAGGTGCTGACCTATCTCGCTGGACTAGCAGAGGCCACCTTGCAGCCCTACCTCTATGGAGATTTATCCTTTGATGCTGTGCCAGAGCCAGACTCTGCAATCCGCAGAGTGCAGTGTAAGACAAGTGTACTGAATCAGATCTCGAGCCAAACTTTAAGATGAGTCTTCAAAATTTGACCCTGGATTGCTAAACTTGTGCTTTTCACATAAAAAACCTCTGCTGTTGATCTGTAGTGTACATATTTTACTCTTGATAAGGACTGAGATGAATGAACGAGCAATAAATTTTAAAGAAATATTTCTGGTTTGGGACTGAGTAAAGCTCACAGTACCTTAGCATCAATGAAGCTGTTTCCCACTATCATTGGCAATAAGGATTCTTCATTCTCTGCAATTCCTTCAATACTCTTCTCCACCTCATTAGCACTGGCTAATGAGATGCTGGTATGTGACAGCTGGTCAGTGCTTTGCTGCACAGGTTTAGGAGCAGATGTTTTCCTACACAATGTTAAGCAGGAATAAAATTGACCCACAGGAAGAAAATACAAAAAAATCAAGGATCAACTTTAAAGCTATTATTAATCAAGTAATATTGGTATATTATTGGCATTTACATTTTGTTATATGATACTCCTAACTCTCATGGAATTTAAATGTTACTGCTAGTGATAAAAATAACAACTGCTTCCAGTTAATCATACACAGTATCTACAACCTTAAGTGCAGACAGGAATTGCCATGAGTAGTAATATTACTTGGAGAAAGTAACTACTAATGATATTATGACTTTTCTACCATGCTGCACAGACTGTCTCCCAATCCATATTTTTTCCTGCATGTATGCTAAAAAGCCCTTGTTACTAAAATATACTTTCATACAGTTTTTAATTTATTATTTCAAGTAACTTCGATTTGTTCTGAATCTACAGTTATGTGCAGAGACGCGGGGCCAATTTATGGCCAATAGCAGCTGATGATAAGATGGACAGATGCTGGCTTGCACCACTGCAAAGAAATGGCATCATGGAACTGCTTTATGTCAGAGTTCCTCTCGTCCAGCAACACCAGAGGGTTAAAGCCCTGCAAACCAAGTCTGGGCAAGCTGGAGGGTTAGGCAGGAGGAGCGGATGATGTAAAGCAGCATGCTTATCTGACTCAAAAGGGGGTTTTATTTGGAAACATGCCTCATACTTAGTTGTCAAAGCACAACTGACTCTGTGGTTCTTTCTTCTTTTCATTGGAGAAGGGCCTCAGGTAGAGTAGGAAGAGCCAACAAAGTGCTTTGTTTCCACTGCTGGCAGGAATAGGTGAAGAGACAGAGTACTTCAGAGAACTTAGCACTCTTACAGAAGGCATGTCCCAAGAATTGAGAAAGAGGTCAGTCTTCAAGAAACAGAACTTACCTGGCTTTACTGCGATAAATTAAAATCAGGATGCAGATAAGGATGCAGGTCAAGGCTATGCAAACCCCAACAACAATGCCAGTCATTGATTTCTGGTCCAGATGGTAGTAGTCAGAATAAGCTATAGCAAAAAAGAACATAGAAAGGCTCAGTAAATAAGAAGGGTTACCCCCTGCTACCTGTCAGGAAATTAATAGGATTACAGTCACAACCACAGAGAAAAATGCTTCCTTTTAATGAGATTTCCGGAGCTTCTCTGTCATACATTTTGACACTTTTGAAAATAAAACTTGCAGACCAAACAGAGCAGTGTATGCAGTCCTGGTGTGGGAGGGGAAGAAGGGACTGCCCCACACCACAGCCTCTTTGGTAATTTACAACACAGAGCAGAAATGCTTCCTCAATCCCCCTCCTTACAGGGTGCTACTAGACAACAAAGGGAAAAGGCTTGGAAAATTCCGGGCATTGTCACCTAGGAGGGTTCACCTTGGTTTATACTTTGACATCACATGTCTATTAGCCTAATCCAGAGGGCATTGGCTCATTCAGGCCTAAAATATAACTGAATTCCAGGAAGTGAGAAAACCTGAGCAAGAGGAATCCCTGTGTTTTAATCACAACTCAATGTGTAGCAACAAGAGAAGGTTAAAAGGTTCATGTACCTGAATAATTACTAGCTTTTGTCTCCCCAAATAGCTTTAAAATCTGTAACAAGTCACCAAGATAAATTCTCTTTTATGCCAGACAAAGACAATGTGTTCTTCCATTCTTATATGGAGAAACCACTGATGTTACCTGAATTTCTGCAAGGTAACACAGAGTTTTCCCCAAAGAGCTGCAGGTGGGGCTGACTTCTCTGGTGATGCTGCTATACCACTGCCTGCCAGGTTGATTTGGGTTGCTGGAATACCAGGAACCAGAAAATTGCAACAGATTTATTTGAGATGTCCTCTCATCTCTGCCTGGTTACCCAGTGCCAAATAAAGGACGTAAAGGAAGTTCCTTAAAAGAGTGGCTGCAAAGTTTATATTCATGTAAAATTCAAAACAGTTACGTATTCTCATTTTAAAGGCAAACTTCCAACTTCTGAGCAAAAGAAACCAGTTCTGAGTTGAACTGAGGTAAAAATTCCGAAATTATTTCATTTAGAAGAGCATGCTACACTGTTGGGACTGCCTCACATAAAACAGAAAGCTAAACAAGCTGAAACAAACAGGGATCTTTTTTTTCCTGGTACTTGTGACAGCAGTAATCCAAACACTGCTACTGACTTGTGGAATCTCCTGAATCCAAGCGTTTAGGTCTCTGATTAGATTCTGATGTCTCCTTTGGCAGGACAGCAAGTTCTACGGCATTTGAGAAGGGTCCTTCTCCCACTTCATTGGATGCTGCTATTTTGACCAAGTAGACATTTCCTGCTACAAGGTTTTCCAGCAAAGCCATGGTCATTGCTCCTGTGAAAAGATTTGATTAAAAGTTCCAGTTAGACAAAATCTATGAGAAGAGGCTGAGACATATGCATTGGGACCTACACTTTCCAATACCACCTCCAAATCTTGTTTGAGGACTGTGATCACTTTTATACGTTCTATCATGCATATACAGGGTACAGAATGAACACTGGGGTTGCCTGCTTGTTCCATCTGACCTTTCTCTCCATACTGCTTGAACACAGCACACTGTGAAGTGCCACTGTAGTTCAGAACCAAGAGTCAATTATTGGCTATGATACACAGCATACTAATCCTAAGTCTAGCTCGAGCTGCACTTCAGTGTGATAGTGTTTATGTTGTATCTGTGAGGTGACGTTCTGAGCATTAACCAGACTTTCAGGCAGAGAAAGAATAATGTTAGACCTATCTCATATAGTAATCTATGTGCTTCTCCTAGATCCACTGTACCACAAATGTGAATGCAAATCATCATAAAAAATAATTCAGGATCAGGTTATCAAATTTCAGGTCTACTTGGTAAAATATAAACGACAGATTTGGAAGAGTACATTATACCACGCTTCTAAAATAAAATTAAACCCATTTAGGCCTGCGTAGGCTCCTTTGATTACTGTGCATCTAAGCTGTGCTCCTAAAAATATTACAGAAAATGTCTTTTTCACATGCTAAGGATTCATTTCCTAAAGTCCCCCAAGGCAGGAAAAACAGATTAAGAACATAAATAGGATTCACTTGCATCGACCTTAGACAGGCAAAACTTCTATCAAAGTCAATGAGAGCTTTGCCTGTCCAGGGACTGCAGACTGCTGCTTAAAATTCAATTCCTTTCTAAAATGCCTGTGTTTCTTCCTACCATAGAAATATATTGCTTTTCTTTCCCTAAATAGTGGCAGTTACAGGACCAAATCTATCCCTTGTTCTCTTTCACATATTCCATTCGCTTTCCCAGACTTAAGTCTAAATTTCAACCTTTCAAATCAGTTTCAGTTGTTAGAATTTATAGTATCATGGGAGCGTATAAAATATAAGGTTGATATGTTGACAGAAAAGATTATACATTTGGCAAAAGGGAAGCTACTTCAAAAGCTATTTCAGCTCTTCCATAAAAAACACCCATTAGCTGAAAGCATTTGAAGTAAAATGTGAGGTATCTGTAACCAAAGGAGCTGTAATATTTAGCACCACCAAGGGCGAAAGGTCACGTTTCAATATTACAGGCTTTTTCCCACCAGCTCCTTTCAAATCTGCTGCATTACTAAAGCAAGTGAGCACTTTGTACTGATTTACTGCACACCAAGGGTGTAAAGGCTGTAACTTCTGATCCACTTGAAGAGAACTAGGAAAAAGGGGGGAGGTGGCTGGAAGATATCTCACATCACAAATCAGCAACAAACTGCAGGTATATTTTCTAATTCTGCCATGGCTAACAGAAACTCAAATTAGGGATTTGTCTTTTAAGTTGCTCGGTTGATAGAAATTTTTATGCATAAAATAAAGCTCATACTGGGGCACTTTTTTAGGTGTTGGGGTCAGTTGGTCATTTTTTGTTTTGGTAGGGTTTGTTGTTTTTTTTTTATTTGGTGGGTCTTTGGAGGTATGGGAAAGGAATGGGGTTAAGATTTGACAAATCTTCAGCAGAACAAGTTTAGTGTCAAGACAAAACAATGCTATTTATTGCATAGGGTTAGCTGATCTTATCAGAATAAATGCATTAAAAAAAACCAAACCCTGCTTCTACCTCAAATTACCTATGAAAGGACTGTCAGAGGACTATCACAGTATTTGCCCAATTTTACCTCAACATACTAATTTTCTTTCACAGGTCTTTTAATCTGTACTTTAACTAAGAGCATTACAGACTGTCCTGACGTGTCAAGATGCCCAAATTCCATGCCATGCCTCAAACCCTAACATATCTGTCAAAATACAAAATTAGTGACTTTAATTTTGATGGACATAGTAATACACTGAGATTTATAGCTCTCCATTTGCTCATTCCCTCCAACACTATCAGGAACACAAGAAAATATTTACTGTTATTGCCATCCCCTCATCCGAAATACCTATGGTGAGATACTATTTAGGATGCTGTTCGGTTTTACAGTCATGGCTGAGCTGAAGTATGTATCTGAAAGCAATTCAGTCACTTTGCTGCACACAACAAATACAGCATAACATCATCAGAATGACAAGATTTATTCTTCACATATAGGCTCCCTGTTAATTTAAATATGCAGGGGTTTTAGTGAGTAAAAATTAATATTAAATTTGTCCTTTAATACTATAACTTTACATCACCATTTCTTTCAACAATTTAATGGTACAGCTTTATATCACCGGTTCTTTGAACAATTTTAATACTGAGAATCCATGGGCTCAATCTTTGCCCTAGATCTCATTGATATTTCAGAGACTAGTTATTTTTCACAAATTTTGTTTAAGATTAATAATAACCTCACTGCTATTCTTCACGGCTGACTGTCCTCTTTGAGGCCAGCCCAAGAAATGCCATTTTGTGCCAGCAAAGACAAAGCGGCACTGCCACCTTTCAATATGGCTGTTAGTCCTTCGTCCCCTCGTCAGGAGCAGCACAAAGGACAACCACCTTCTTTGAACTAAAAGAGTTCACTCTCACTGATGGCAAAATGAATTGTCCACTGCCAGCACACTCATTAAGTTTTATGAATTTTCTCCACAAAAACCATAAAGCCTCACTCTCTGCTGACGACTAAGCCTTCAGCTGTGAAACAACACAGAGCAACAAAATCCTAACTCTTCCTGGGCAGTCCTCTTAAATAAGCTACTCAAACACGTGACTACTCTGTAACACTGAGCTTCCCTCTCTAGTTAAATACATTATTAGAACATTATCTATTCTGAACTGCCTTTGTCTATTTTGAATACCAACCAAATAGTAAATGCCTTTTTCCTTTTTTTCTGGCTATAGCAGAGATCTGTTCTTGATGCAGCTCTTCAAATCATAGTATTATACTGGAAAGTGCCTATTAAAATTTAGAGTATATTTACATCTAATCACAAAGATGTGACTGCAGTTCATATCACCATACCTGAGCTACTGTTAGATTAGCTAGCTGGGGCTCAGCAGTAGAACACAGCCAGAGAGTTAAATTGAATTTGCAGAGCAATTTACTGGGAGTAAGGGCAAGTTCATTAAGCAAACAGAGCTAACTGGGTTGGCAGTGATCAAAAGAAATATATAAACCCACACAGCACATTTATAAATTTATTTCAGGAGGGCAAGGCATCTCTGAGACTTCAGATTTGAAAGAGTCCATTTACAAAATGAACCCATCACAATCATGGCTACAACAGAACTATGATGGATATAATGGAATTTATGAGACATTTTGGTTCACGTGCACACACTGAGCTCCAAAGCAACACATACAGCCCCTCCTCCCTCATCTTCTGGGTGTTAATCAAGTTTTAATACATTTGCATCATAACTGTGGAAATAATTCTAAACTAATTATAACTTTTATGTGAACATTTTTATGAATTTCTTTCTTATTGTAGTCCAAGGGAGCTGAAAGTAGCAAAGCGTCTTATAAGTAGCATCCTTTTTTGCCCGATTCATAGGTTTATGATTTTAGTTTACCTTCTCTGTGCAACACTTGCCATTCCCCGGCAATCCAAGACTTCCTGGATGCATAGAGGATAGTGTACCGTGTAACAACTGTTTCAGGACCATCAGGTGGCTTCCAGGAAACTAAAGCAGTATCATCCTCTATCAAAGTCACCTTCACTCCTACTGGAGGGCCAGATGGTGCTGTGAGAACAGTAACACAATGCTATTAGGCTAACCTAATTTACATGCAATTAAATTGCTCAGAAAGAAACCGATGTGCAGACCTAATGGCTACTGCTACATTCCAGATAAACAACATATAAACAAAGACATATTCACTGCTCCTCAAGAGAAACTCTCCTGTTAACTCTCATCTGGTCAATAGCTTGGCTCTTGTAAGAGCAAATTTCAAATTTTTCCTTCAACTCCAGAAGGAAACAGTTACTGACAAAAAATTGCATCATTACCCTGTGAACAGGTACGTCCCAAACATTGCAATGCTGAGAACACAAAACTGAAGTTTTTGACTTTCACTGACCAAGCTGACAGAAAAGCAAACCAGCAGCTCAGGCAGCAGATGTGCAATATTCTTACAGTGTCTAAGACTTCCGGTTGTTAAAACATGTTTTCATGACACCTATGAATCAGCGACACCTCTTCAATACATATTTTACATTTTTTATTTAAGTTATTTTAATTCAGTGGTTTAAGTATATCACAATTTACTAAAAATCCTTGCTGATGTCAGGTAGATTTCGAAAAAGAATTTCACAGTTCCAAAACATTGATTTTCCTCACAGCATTTTTCTCTCTCTCACTGAAAAGAGCAATATCTGTACCTCAGGAAAGTATTTCTCTCTCCTACAGACAGCTTAAAATTAATAAGCAATTTTTCAGGCCATTTGGTTTCCAGGTCCTCTCTTGGTGCCTTACCTTCTGGAAGGGTAGTATGGTAGACCACTGGACTCCAGGGACTGGAGAGCTGGTCCACATGCAGCCGAACTGCAAATTCATACATGGTTTTTGGCTCAAGACCTTGAACTAACATGTGAGTCTCTGACCTGTACAGATGAAGGAATAAAATAATTAGCAGCAGTTGACCTGAAGATCCCAAACTCAAATGATATCTCTTAGCCACTGTGAGTAGATTCTCACTGTCAGTTCAACACAAACCAGTTCAAGTCCAGACATGTCCACCTGTGCTGTTTACCTCAAAATCTAATTGTACAGACTCTGGAGCTCTCTGGAGGATGTCCTGTCTGCTGTCACTTGACTTGAGCTCAAGTTTTTATCAAGGTTGTTAGGACAGCTGATGCACAAGCAAGACCAACAATATTATTGCCCAGGTCACAAGTGGGTATCCCAAACTCAGCTTTTTCTACATTTATCCAGAGGATACTACATTTCAAGCTGGAGTAACACTTAAGCTACAACCAGCACCACAGCTGAAAAGGTCCATGCTGTTGGCTCCACCAGCTTTTCCTGGATCTGCTTCTCAGTTCACCCAACAGACACGTATGTGCAGCTTCCCCTTTAATGCACAGCCTGCATCGCCTCATGATTAGAGGATGTCTGTAGAATATGAATGTTCCCTATTCATCTTGTAGTCATATTTGGTATTTTATTACTGTAAAATTGATTGTATTAACTGTAATATTGCAATTCACTATTTGATCACAGAGTCAATTGTAGACATTCTGCTTTATTTTGATTCTGAAGGCAGGGGGAAATCTTTCATATACCAGGGTTATATTATATTAACCAGGGTTAATTCCAGGGTGATAATATCCAAGTCGAGGTTAAATCTCAGTTTAAAATGGTGTTACTCTACATACACTGCTTTATTAAATCTCATTTAGTATTTTAATCTTCTATACTGCAAAGGAAGTCACCAATATTTACAATAGTTTCACCCTAACACAAAAAGCAGCATTCATTGCTATGCTCCATATCTCACACTAAGAATTTTACATGGTGATTACACTGTGTCTAATTGTTGAGTCGGGAATGTGTTCTTTGAAGAGAAAACCATCAATATTAGGATCGAAACTATCTTTTTAGACAGCATTTTTCTTATTTAGAAGGCTTCAGTAAACCCAAGTATTGAGGGAGCTACATACATACAGATTCCCTCAACAGCACCATGGCCCCCAGCATCAGCAGCCACAAAGGAGCACAGTCTCCTGCTCCCGTACCACCTGGGCAGAGAGTCGCACACCAGGCCCAGGCAGAATTGCTTCCCTGTCCTGCCATTCTGTGGCTCATGCATTGCTTCTCTGAAAAGCCAGCTGTAGTTCCTACTTGCCTTTTTCCTGGCAGGGTGCCACACAGTCAGGAATGTGGCATTCCCACAATAACATGCTCAACTCCTCAGAAGTCAAGGGTTCTTGTTTCCAGTCTTAAAATCAGAACTAAGTCCCATCTTTGCTCAGACAAGCTACCTATAAAATAGGTAATCTCTTCTGTTTGGCTGAAGAGCTTAAAACTAAATTCAACTTAGACAGCTAAAAAAAACCATTAAAAATTCAAGAGCTTGTCCAGGAATCCAACACATGGATCACAGGTAGAGAGTTAAGCTATTCTACCAACATGCCTTAAATAAACCAAGAAACAACTAGCAGCCACTGGGCAAAACACACAATCATCTAAGGGAGATAAAAGTTGTTACAGTAAAAAGCAGTTAAGAGAGGGCAGAAAGAGCAGAAACTGAGTGGGAAGGATCTAGAAACAGGAAACTAAGACTCATTAGTAGCACTGCACTTACGTTTGAAGGTAGAGAACCAGAGAAGCATTCTGCAGCCCCACTGGGTTGCAGCGGATGGTGTAGTTAATGACTTGCGCAGATGTAAAGGCAGGCCTTCCCCAGTGGAGGTAGATAGAAGATGAAGTGTTAGCTTTGGCATAGAGGTGGTGAGGGGGTGGTGGCGGTGGCACCATGCGATCACGGACAGCTGTTAAAAACAAAAAAGGAGCATGAATTATTTAATGAACTGCATACAGATACTGGTAAGATTTAAGAGACAGGCCTGAGCCCGCAGGTTTAGATCCCAATCTGTCCCTACCCAGCACTACCTGGTATTCAGACCCAGGAATCTGGCTCAAGCTGTTAAACCAACAATGTCACAATAAGTTTATGAGAGATTTGTCTCTTTCCCTTGCCCCTGTTTATAGCTTCTGTAGTCCCACTTGTTTATCCAGAAACAAAGTCAAAACTATAAACAGGGACAAGGGAGAGAGACAAATCTCTCATAAGATACATGATACATCACTGGTAAGATGATGCAGACAATCCAATAGCAGAGGAAAACACGCTTGGTAGCTATCTTGTTTCCTCAGCTGCAGTTCATGAATGCAGGAGATGTGTCTCAGTTGCAGGATGACTGGGATCGTATTTGTCACAGATATGATCTTTCTGGTTCTCTGTTTTACACTGAATTAATTGATTATTTATAGATTAAAAACAGAGAGCTGCTGGAATCTTGAAACAGCTCAGCTCTTAATAAATTCTTCATGCACCTACAACACTTACAGACACATCCTGGAGTGCTGACTGTTTGGTCTGCCTGATAACCTTCTTCCATACTGTTATATGCCAGCAGCCTTACATGATACTTTCTTCTAGGATCTGCACAAAGAGTAAAGGAATAATTAGACACAAGAAAAAAGATAAGGATTTTCAGACTTCTACAGATAGTGAGATAACTTAATTCTCCTGCAAGTTTTGTTCAAAATCTGTCTGCTACAATCAGCAGTCTGAAGAACAGGCTGCATGCCTGTCTTCTTTCCAGATCTTGTGAATTTCCCTGAATCTTTGCCCAGACTGCACTAGAAATAATCACCTATCTCCCAGTCTTGCTTCTGATAGCCTGAAACCGAAATTTGTAACAGGAAACAGTGGGAGCCGCATCAACATCACCTTTCTATCTGTAAATAAATCACACTTTCACAGCTACGGAGCTAGATATAATAGTATTATTCAGCATACTCAAAGTGCTTTCAGTCTGTAATAAAGATTTGTTAAAACAAACAGCATGAGGTCCATAGAAAGCAGCATTTATTTCTGGATAAGCAGGCTGTAATGAAGCAGAGTAATCAAAGCAAAGACAGGACTCAGCAAAGAAATGGGAAATGTTTTGGTTCCAGGTTCCCAGAGGAGACACATAGTGAAACAACAGCGATTGTTAATAATGTCCTTGACTCACAACTTCCACTTCCAAGTGTTTTCTTGAAAGTTGGTTCTGGCATTCTTAGAGGGTCACTAGCTTGAAGGGTCTTCCATTTCCCTTTCTCCGGCCATATCTTTGGGTTACCCATATTGCAGTGTCCTGCTTCTCTCAGTTCTGTTAATGACACGCTGGCCTAGATCCAAGTGAAAAATCACTACAGAGGAATGAGTCAGAAAGGGGCCTTGAGCTTTCAGTAAGTGGAGGTGCTGTGGGGTACCTGCCGGCAGTTAGGAGAGCAAACCACCAGGACGGCCACACTGCTTCTCTCCAGCCTGCTCCCTTGCCGTGCTGTTTGCTACAAATCCCTTCCACACAATGATGATTTCTAAGGTAGTGGAACTTGCTATTAGTATATACAAGCTCTTCTGGGTTCAGCTAAACTTCACCCCAGTGCTGACATAGATATTAGGACATTTTCCTCTCCTGTTGTCATGAACCTACTTCTTTCTGTTAAGATTTTCAGAAGGTCTAGGCAGATGTAATATAACAGTGCTGATCTCGTTTATTTCTTTTTTCTGTGCCCTAAAATACTATCCCTCTCAAAATAAGCTCTCCTCTTTCTCATTTTAGGTGAGATTTGACATGGCCTCTCATGAAATAAACAGGAACACAAATCCCTGACAGTTTTTCACCACAAACAGGACTTTTGTTTATATCGGATCGTTAGCTCCCTCTGCAGCCTCTGCATCAGCAATACAAGCTGCACAACTCCAACTGGATGTTTCTGTAAAGATGGCATAGTAATTTCATAATAATGCGTTTTGTAAAATCTTTTTGTAATTATTTTGAAATAGACAATCATTTTGTGCTGTAGTTATCAACATCAACTTTAAATGAGCTACTGCTACGTATGTTTATTTTTAAAATACTATTTTACCAAAATCTAAATATTGGTGTAAAGGAAAAGGGGCTCTTAAATTTGGATTAAAGTATTTCTTTGATGTGTTTAACACTAATGGTAGAATAGGCAAGAGAAGCCCATTTCCGTTTTTCAAAGAGATTTTAATGTCACAAGTTGACAAGATAAATTACAAAATGTCAAAAAATGAGGTCTTTTTAAAATAGAGTAAAATTATCATTTGAAGTTGTGTCTTTTTTTCACTTTACAATACCACTTTAACAGACAACATCAGTTGTTCCTAATCAAGAAAATACAATCAGAGAAAAGGGGGAGATGGACACAAACACACAGAAAAACCTTAATCATGTGATAAAAGAAAATACGGAATTTTAAAACTGAATATTCAGAAAGAGAGTAAGATATTATATGTAAATCACTGCAATCTCTTTAAAAATTGAAAAAAAAAAAAAAGGACACGTGAAGGGAAGGAGGGAAGGTGCATTTAAAAACACTGAGCCCAATGAACAAGAAGTCATAGTGCCTTATTAAGGTGAATTACAGCACGCATCTCAGAAAAGCAGAAATATGTACCTTCCCAGGCTTCTTAACATATGGTATGAATACATATATTTAGCACATGACTAACATATTGAAAAACAAAGCCAAAATTTTAAAAAGAGGCCATCAAGACATGTTTAGGATTATGTTTTAGAGGTTGTTATAATAATTATCAATTCTCCCATCCATTTGTAGAAAAAACTTGAATTGGGGTTCTATTTAGCGGACCCTTGAACAGATTCCACAGAAACAGGCGGCATCCAGCCGGCCAAGTGTCACAGTCTATCTTTTTCTTTACAAGTTCCTGCAGAAGAGACCCCTGCTGCATTTCCGCAAGACACAGGATGACAGACATGACAATTTATCATCCTGCCAAGCACCTTCAAAAACTTTGTGCCCTTTGAAAGTGGTCACCCAGAACTGATCATCTTCACTGTGAAATGAAGAATAGCTAAGGTCTAGTGCCCTGCTGAGCTGAATGAGGAGCCTGTGAGGTCTGTTTATCCTCATAGCTTCTTTTTTTTTAAAAAAAAAAAAACCTGAATTCCTCATTAACACTTCATTGGGGAAGAGAGAAAGAATAATGGGATGTGTAAGAAAGACAAAAATATAACTCCCACAAAAATTTAAAATTTCTTTCAAAACCCACAATTTTTTATCTTATTTCTAAGTGTTTTTAATGCTCTACATTTAGAAAAAGCACAATGTTGAATACCATTCAACTTACTCTTGTGTAATGCAAGAAGTTTCAAAAAGAATTATCTTTATATAGAACCACGTGTTTAAAGTCTCTCAACTAGGCTCTACCGTCTAAAAAACAAGGTTATTTCCACTGCAGGACATCATGGTTTAATTGGTAGCAAGACTAGTTCAATCTAAAAACGATATCAAAATTTCTAAGCTGTCACACATTACTGCTTCTGTGGTTGAAAAAAACATCTGCTGGTATCTGTAATTCAAAGAGCAACTGAGGAGGGCTGCATTATGTAGCAGCCTAGAAAAGCCAAAATGTTACAATCATCTAAAAAGGAGAATATAAAATAATTTTAAAGATAATTTTAAAGTACTGAGCAGTGAAAGAAATTGATATGAAACTTGCTTTGCAGTTATATGTATAACATTACTGAAGACCAATTCAAGGAACCTGCTGAGATGCTGTTCCATGTTGGTCATAGCTTCACCATATGCAACACAAAATAACAAACAGCCAAAGATCTGCCTCCAGTTCCAGCAGATACTTGCACACTATTATGAAGTGGTGGAAAATAGTTTTTTTGCCTAAAGTATCTTCTGTTTAGAATATTTTTAACAATTGTTAGTTTCGTTTACAGGTTTATTATATGACTTACTCCTCAATTGCAATCCCAGAACAAAAATTGGCATAAATACTTTGATCTAGCAGTTCATCAGCTGGATCAAACACGCAAAGTCAGACACATCCTTAGAGAGAAAACAAACTTTCTTATCTTTAACTAGCCCAGATTATCCTGAATAGTTTACACATAAATCACTGATAAAAGATTGGGGATAGCATGGCCACCTGGGGGGCTGACAGTCTCAAATTTAGTGTATGCCAGCCATGCACACTACACAGCAACAGGAGGCTTGAGAGGCTCAGAAATCAGGGAAGTGAATATTGAGGCCATCAGTCACGCTCATAAGAGACCCAGGAGTAACACATCTTCCCACAGAAGATCACTGCTATTCAGAAACAAATTAGGTGCGGTGCTTTACTCAACACACACATTCAGCTTCAGTCAAAAAGACTCACATAAAGATTTCACCTCTGCATTTTCAAAATTTCCCTAAACAGCCTGGTGACACTGAGTCATTTCAATTAATTCTCTTGCAATTGCCAGCATTTGTATAGTGGTCAAAGGCTTGTTCCCAGACCTAAGGTGAACAGGAACAATTTTGTAGCCTATTTGCCAACTTGCTGAATTTTTGTATTTAATTTGTTTCTGCGGAATGAGGTTTGTTTTGGTTTGGGTTTTTTTAGTGCTGCTGGCAATAGGTTGTTGAAAAATTAAGTGTCACAGCACCTACAGCTTTATAATAGGCATTTTTGTTGTTATTACTTAAATCAGCCAGTGGACACAAAAACTACGCTGTTTGTACAAATCAAGAGGCCACACTTGTTGTTGATATAAACATGCCAGAGCTAATTAATAAATTTGTTGCAAGACTGCCTCTGGAGTACACAGAGACTGTCTTTTTAAAGAGGCTGGCATGTGATAAGGTGGCATGGCTTCACAGGGTACAAGGGATCTGCCTCACACACCCTTTTTATATAACCCAAACCTGTCAGTATTAAAAACACATGAATAACAGTTCAACAAGAGGCACAGATTTCACCTCTGGTAATAACACTCCTATAAAATAAGAGTAAGAAAAAGCTAAATATGCCTTATGTTCATTAATTCTATATTATCATAATAGATACTGTACCAAAAATCTCTGGTTTACAATTTATGTAGGATCAGCCTCATTTTCCTATGGCAGTTTTTGTTGGTAGGTCACTGCTTCCTGGTGACACTCCTTTGGAATCCCGTATCCTGTCATTCATTCTCCCATAAAAATCTGCAGTCAGACCTGCAGATTCAACCCTAATAGGTCTTTCAGCAGCAAGACACATGGGACACCCTTCTCTTTGGTTTGCAGGTCGATGAATAGGTTCTATACCTTATAGGAAAACTATGGCAAAGCCAAATACTGCAAGTATGAGCCAAAAAATCATGGACTGTAACTTGGAAAAAACATTAAACATGACAGTAGCTGAAGCTTGGTAAGAGTTTGGATGACAATGATTTGCTTGTGCATTTTACTGTCCTACTACATCCCTGAGATATAATCTCAGAGATTATATTCAGCAGATAGGAAGTTCATAGCAGTTACTGGTGTTACTGCTGTAAAAAAAGATCCTTCAAGAAAAATGTTACAGTGCATACAGACGTTCCAACTCTGCTTTTGTGACAAGTCATTTAATTTCCCAGCATGGAG